GCCTCCTGGGTCCTCCTGGGGACCTCCTGGGGCTTCCTCTTGGGCCTCCTGTGGCCTCCTGGACTCCACCTGGGGCTTCCTGAAGCCTTTTGGGGCTCCCAGGGGGAGATATCTAACATGTGGACGCTTGGGTCCCTCAAAATGGGAGGGGGGGGGGGCACAAGAGCAGGAAAAAGCAACGGATGTGTATTAACTTGACACGTTCTGATAAGGAGGCCTCCTGGGAGCCTCCTGGGAATCTGCTGGGGACCCCTGGGGCCTGTCCTGGGCGTCCTGCGGCCTCCTGGAGCTCTCTGGCGCCTCCTGGGACTCCCAGGGTCCCAGGGAGGATATGTAACATGTGGTCTTCTGGGCCCCCAGGCTGGACCACCTCTTGCGCGGCATCTGGGAGCTCAGAGTTGCGAGGATGTCTCAGGCAAAACGGGCCGGACCACCTTGCGGACGGCATCTCAGAGCTCAGAATTGCGAGGATGTCTCAGGCGAGACGGGCCTGACCACCTCGCGCAGGGCATCTCCGAGGTTAGAGTTGAGAGGATGTCTCATGCGAAATGGGCTGGACCACCTCTTGCGCGGCAGCTCACAGCTCAGAATCTCGAGGATGTCTCAGGCGAAATGGGCCAGACCATCTCGCGCGCGGCATCTCAGAGCTCAGAGTTTGGAGGACGTCTCAGACGAAACGGGCTGGACCACCTCTCGCGCGGCATCTCGGAATGCAAAAGTGCGAGGATGTCTGAAGTGGAACGGCCCAGACCACCTCTTGGGCGGCAGCTCGGGGCTCAGAGTTTGGAGGATGTCTCAAGCGAAACGGGCCGGACCACCTCTCGCGCGGCATCAAAGAGCGCAGAATTGCGAGCTTGGAGGACGTCTCAGGCGAAACGGGCCGGACCACCTCTTGCGCGGCATCTCGGAGCCTAGAGTTTCGAGGATGTCTCAGGTGAAACGGCCCGGACCACCTCTTGCGCGGCATCTCAGAACTCAGAGTTGCGAGTGTCTCAGGCGAAACGGGCCTGACCACCTCGCGCACGGCATCTCAGAGCTCAGAGTTTGGAGGATGTCTCAGGCGATACGGGCCGGAGAACCTCTCGCGCGGCATCTAAGAACTCAGAGTTTGGAGGATGTCTCAGGCGATACGGGCCGGACCACCTCTTGCGCGGCATCTGGGAACTCAGAGTTTCGAAGATGTCTCACGCGAAACGCCCAATCCCAGACAACTCAGAAACGAGTTGCGAGGATGTCTCAGGCGAAACGGCCCGGACCACCAATTTTTGTTTGAGGACGTCTCTGCTTTGATTTCCCTCGGCCGGAGTTAGCTTTTATCACAACAGCACCCCGTTCAACCAGCTGTTTGGGGAAAAAAACGATCAAGTGCCCGCCCGACCGCAGGCTGGTGTTTGTGGCCTTCGGTGCTCCGCCGCTCAATGCTTCGGTGTTCTAGAATGCGCCCATCCGCCACCGTGTCTCGGATCCCTCCGAGGTCTGTGTCTTGCATGCTGTGCGTGCTCCTGACGGATCACAACAAGGGTAAGGTCGGGCATGTCCTCCTTCAGGGGGTCTTAGACGAAACATAAAAAATTGTCAAAAATGCTCAACCATCAAAAATTGTCAAAACATCGTCCCCAGACTATTGCTTGACTATTGTTGAATTCTCCTCCTGTAGAGGGACAGGCCCGATATGTTAATCATGCGGGCAGGGGCCCGGTCCAAAAATAGCCCGGTCCAAGCGCGAATCGCACCTCCAAGTTGCATGAGGCTTCTGCTTCCGCTCGCCGGGCAACCATTGGCCCTGCCCCCTTTCCCGTGCTGGCCTGGGCCCCCCTCTGCCCCGCGAAAACGTCGGGTCCCGGCAGCGCGCGCGCTGTGGCTGGACAACCACAGGGGGTTGGGCCCGGCTGCCAGGTTATCGGCGGGGTTGAGGCAGTGAGGATTGCGCTCGCATACAGGAGGAGGAGGAGGAGGAGGAGGAGGAGGAGGAGGAGGAGGAGGAGGAGGAGGAGGAGGAGGAGGAGGAGGAGGAGGAGGAGGAGGAGGAGGAGGAGGAGGGAGGAGGGAGGAGGGAGGAGGGAGGAGGGAGGAGGAGGAGGAGGAGGAGGAGGAGGGAGGAGGAGGAGGAGTGCGCAACTCGGACTGCGCGCGCTCCACTGCGAGGCGCGCTGCGGTGGCAAAGCTAGAGGACCCGCGGTGGCAGGAGGAGGAGGTACAGGAGGAGCAGGAGATGGGGCGGATGAGGACGAGGATGAGGAGGGTGAGGAGAGCAAGCCCGTGGGGGGAATGATGAGAAGGAAGGGTGGGTAGAAGGAGGGAGGAGGGGCGAGAGGACTTGGAGGAGGAAGAAAGGGGGAGAGAGAGAAAGTAGGGGAGGGAGAGGGGGGAGGCTGGAGGATGAGGATGGCCAAGGAGAGCAGTATTAGGAGGAGCATGGGGGGTGATAAGGAGGAAAGGCAGGATAAGAAGGCAGATGAGGAGGATGAGGTCGAAGAGCAAAAGAGGGAAGTCAGCCTCATCATCAGCACCGTCCTCCTCGCCCTCCTCCTCGACTCCTCCTCCTCCTCCTCCTCCTCCTCCTCCTCCTCGGGAAGTTCCCCCCCCTCGCCTTCTCCTCCTCCTCCTCCTCCTCCTCCTCCTCGTACTCCTCCTCATTCCAAAAGAAAAGCCATCGGGCACATGACGGACGCCAGGATACCGAAGGGCAACTGGGACCAACAATAAGAGAAGCGCGCGGCAACCATCGGACACTGAAGGGAAGCCTTCGAAACCACAGGGGCACCTTGAGGGAAACAGTCTACAGACTTCCCGAAACAGGTCAGGTCGTGCCCTTTCGCGCACATGAACATAAACGCAAAAGCTTGTCAGCAAACACTGGGTTACGTAGTATAATGGAAACAGCACCTGTCATTGTCGCATTCTCTGGGGCTTTGGAGCCCTTGAGGCACGGGGGTCTACTGCAGAGAATGTCGGTCAGGCCAACGGCCCATTCCGAATTCTTGCACGTGATGTGTCCTTATGTTCGGCACATCTGTATTATTTTCATGATGCTTAATCATTTCCGATAGAATGCCGATTTTCGCAGTTTCCAATACGTGTCATTACGTCTCGCTAATTCTAAATAGCTTTCATGAGTCATCACTAGCTACAACGGGCTCGCCCACTCCCTGATGCCGCTTCAAAAGAAATGAGCACGCTGCACCATCTCAAAAAAAGTGGCCTCCGCCTGTCGGCCTTGCCTTCATCTCGGCGCCTCGGACTCGGGCCGACGGGGTTGACGGTTCTAGGGCCGTCGGCGCAAGCGCGCGCTCGTGGGTGGATTTGAGCAGGCGTGTGTGAGAGCGTCCGTGGGTGCGGGTAGTTAGTGCGAGACGGCAAGGGGGAGCAAGTGCAAGTGAGCATCGGCGAACGCAATCGGATGCAGAGAGGCGACCATCGGACACCAAGAGGAAGCCTTTCGGTACACAAAGCAAACCAGAGGCCAGGACATGGCCCTGGGCACCCCAAGAGAGACACCATACGAAATCACAAGACGGCCATTTGCATTCAAATAAACCTCTGGACACCAAAAGCAAGCAATAGGACAAGGGAATGCATAGGGACAGTTGTGGGGAACATACAGGTAGCACCATTGTGACACCAAGGGGGCATCAGTTAAAATCCGATGGCACCGATTGGAATCAACGGGGAACCGATTGGCAACTTAAGGGGGATCTGCGGAACGCCAATGGCAGACCAAGGGCAATACCAGGATCGCAACAGCATACCACATCGGCAGGAGAGGGAGGGAAAGGGGGGGCGGCGGGGCCAACACCATGAACAAGAGGTGGCGAAATGCATGTCGGATCGATAACGCCCGTCCTCCCCATGCCTCCTCTTCCCTCCTCCCTCCAATCCCTCCTGCCTCCGCTTCCTGTCTCATCCTTCCACCTCCTCCTTCCCTCCCCCTCTCGCCCCGTATCCTCGGTCTACTTCCTCTTTCGCTAGGTGGCGTTATCAGGTACGAGCGCGAGCAAGGGGGGCACGAGAGGGACAGGGCTGAAGGCGCGGCCATCGGCCACGGGCCAACGGAGACAAACAAGCGACAGCACGGTGCGGCATGAACCAGGCTGGGCGCACGAAAAGCCAGCGGGGACATGGGCAGGGGGCTACGGCCAGCAGGAGCAAGGTCAGGGCTAGTGGGCACGGCGAGAAGAACCCAAACCATCATAAAACGTGTAACTGTGACCTGCGCCCGGACCAGGTTATTTCTGGATCAGGTCCCTGCGACTATGGAATAAGCCTAGGCCCCAAAGTTCCTAGCCGCTCTCGCAAGCTCCCAGGCGGTCCCAAGAATCCCCGTGCATGTTTGTCGCAGGCCCCGAGAGCGTGGCTGGACCTCCAAGTGTCGAACATGCTCTAAGATAGTCTCGCAGGCCCGTGCTGGAGCTTGCTTGGGCGCCTGCGCCTCTTAGAGGCCCTCGGAGCTGGCCCCAAAGGCAGAACTGCCGAAAACAAGCGTTTCTGTAACTGCACAGCTCTCGAACTTCTTCCTGTCATACGAGATTCCAAAACGGCCCGATGATGCCACCGGCCCCCGAGGCGGCCGCAAGATGGGGAAACACGAAGTTGCTTTTGAAGCACTCGGCCCCAAGCTGATTCCCGAGACCTCTTCCACTCTCCCAAGAGACCCCCGGGAGACCCCAGAGACCCGCAGGAGGCCTCCAGGCCCCTGGAAGGCCTCAGGATGCCCCCAGGAAGCCCCTGAGACGCTCCAACGAGGCTGCCAAGACACATTCTTAATGCCCAACGTCCATGGAGAGCCGCTCCCAACGACCAAATACAACCCAGCGGGGGGGGGGGGCAACGATTCAGATTTCCTGCTACTGGTTGAGCCACAGATTGCGCCATCGGCGGCTGAACCTTCAAAGCGTCCTGCTGATGGCTGTGCCATTGGCTGCGCCCAAAGCCGCCGAAGCCTCAAACGTACTGCCACTGCTTGTCCATAGATGTCCCTCTTCCCAGTCGGCCGACCTGATGAGGCGCAAGGGAGAAACTGAAGTTCTCAACGTTCAACATTACCTTGTCTGTGAACTTCTGGCACTCCTTTGCAGGCGCATGTGCATGTGATGTAGCATCGCTCTTGACGCCTCTCGGGTCCACTCGGCGAAGCGCTACAATTGCAGCAACGTGCAGTGAAGCCGTGCGCCGCTGGTTGGGAGCGACACCCCAGAAATGCAAGACATGAGAAATGTTGAAGAGCAGACCGGCACCCTGCATCATCTCTGCACCCCCCTGCGTCTCGGGGCGGCCCTCTTCTTCCAAACACTGCCCCCCTCTTTTTCTGCCCTCCTGCGCTAGCCTCCCCCTGCCCCGTCTTCCTTCTCTCCCTGGTCAAGTTCCACCGCTGCCTCTCATTAGTCAGCACCTTGGTTCTGCTTGAAAACGCATTTGTTTGCCTTTTGCATTTGCGTTTGTTTAGCGTTTGTAGGCCCGTCGCTGTCGAGCCTCATTGTTTGGCTGTTTTGCTCTCTTGTCGAAGGCAATTCATTGCCTTCCCTGCTGTCTTCACTCCCATTCTTCCTTTCTGCCGCCGTTCTCCCTCGCACAGGTAATCCGCAGGCCCCCTTGTGAGGCCACCATGCTGTAGGGCGAAGGTTTGCTGCTCCCTGCGCCAGTTGCATTTTCCAGTTTCCAATGTGATTGGCTCTACTTTCTGATTCCTACTGGTCCTGTCCCTGTCCCCTGTCCTTATCCCTGTCCCTGTTCCTGTTCTGCTCTACTTACTGCTTCCCTTTTCTCCCCTGTTCTTACCCCTGTCACTGTCCCTCTTCCTCCCCCCATCCATCGCCTGCTCGCTCGAGCGGCCAGCATTCGGCTTGTGCACGCGCGCTCGAGCATGTCGGATGGGCGCCTCGCGGCCGCTATGATCAGAAAGAATAGTAGTCACCAAGGCTGCTTCGATGCCTAGCCCGGCGATCGCGACGCAATGGCAGGACATCGATTCCTCAAATACATCCACGTTGGTGCTGCCCGGGGTTCGGTTGGCGATGGTGCGTTTCCATGTCTGGCTCTGTGTCACCCTCTGCGAAGTGGTGCTATGGCCGTGGCTTCTCCTGTTGCTCCTTAGCCCGTTCCCCGCGATGCCACCGGGAACGCTGCTGCGCGTGCGGCCAAGGTCCTGGCCTCGTACTGGCTTACTCTGTGGGCTTGCAGCTGCGCAGCTGACCAAGAAATTGACGCGCTCGTGTTGGCAATTGGCGTCGGTCTCCACATCTTCCTCGACGCCAACATCCGGCGTCCTAGGATGGACATGGTTTTGCTTAAGCTCTTTGTGGCGCCATCGGCTGCACGTCTTCGTAAAGTTCTCCATGGCCAGGCGCAAGGACGTGCTGTTCCCCCTTGGGCTCAACGTGTTTTGCGCCTTCTCCCCCCAGATGTTCCTGGGACCGTTGCACATCCAGGTGGGGTCTGGGAAGTCGCTGTTCGCAGATATCTCGCCCAACCGACGTCTTCAAATTCCAATTCCGTGTACGCGTTGTTCGAGGAGGAGGGGGATTAGCGCGAGGAGAGGGAGGAGGAGGAGGAGGAGGAGGAGGAGGAGGAGGGAGGAGGAGGAGGAGGGGAGGGGAGGAAGAAGGAGAAGGAGAGGAGGAGAGGAGGGGGATTAGCGCGAGGAGGAGGAGGAGGAGGAGGAGGAGCAGGAGGAGGAGAACGAAGAAAATGACGAGGACGAGGACGAAGGGTATGGACGAAAGCGATAGGACGAGAGAACGATGAGAAATGCGAGCAAATGGCCAACCGGGGCTTGCGGCCCGCCTCATGGACTCGTGGAGCACCTGCGAGGTCCGTAGCCATTTTGGCTCAAGCCTCACTTGGACCCCGTCTGGGGTCCAAAGGGAGTGCGAGCCCCGTTGCCTGTCTGGCTCAGTGGCGCCGCCCCCCCGGCCCGCGCGTAGGGTAATCCGCGCGCGAGGCCGCATGCCGGGCGGCCGCCGCGGCAAGCCGCCGGCTGGGGGCGGCCCCGCCGTGTCGCCGCAGCTGGGGAAGGCGCTGCTGGCCGCATGCCGGGCTGCTGGGATGCCTGGGCTGGGGGGCGGCGGGGGGCAGCAGAGGCAGCAGCGGCAGCAGCAGAGGCAGCAGAAGCAGGGGCAGGAACGCAAGGCTCCGGAGGGCCCGCGGCTGCCTCTGTGGGGCTGCTCCTGCGGGGTTGCCGACAATTGGGCTTGTCGGACTGCCTGCCGTGCATGTGGCCGCCGTGGCCCGCGCGCTGCCGTAGGGAACACGCCGCCCCCCGGAGCGGCGCGCCCTCCTCCGGCGGCTGCTGCTGGGCGGACCTGGGCGCAGGTGGCGGGTGCCGCGGGGGCACCCCCAGGCGCGGCTCAGGCGGCGGCGGCAGGGCCGCAGTCGGCGGAAGCCCCTCGCGACCCCGCTCCGGCAGCGGCGCCGACGGCTGCGGAGCGCCTCGCAGGCCTACGGGCCCGCATCGCCGCCTTCCAGCCGTTCCCGGAGTGCGCCGCCACCGTGGTGCAGTTGGAGGCGGAGGCGGCAGCCATTGTGGAAGCAGAGCGGGCTGCCCGGCCGCTCGAGCGCAGGCTGCAGTCGGCGGTGGACTCCCTGCGCACGCGGTCCGCGGCGGCCCAGAAGGCGCGGCAGGCCGCCCTGGACGCGCAGGAGGTGGCCGATCAGGCTGTCCAGGCTGCCGCGGCGATGGAGGCCCAGGCGGTGCACGCCGAGGCCGAGGAGGCGGCCGCCCAGCAGGCGCTGGTGGCGGTGCAGGCCGAGGCCGCCGCTGGAGGAGCCGCTGCGCCCGCAGGCGGGCCCAGCGCGCCTGGGGGAGGGCTCGATGCGGCCTTCGAGGCGATGGCGGCCGCGGCGTCCCCCGCCGCACAGGCCGCGGTGGTCGCTCTGCTGGCGCAGCTTCGCGGGGTGTTGGCGGCGCCGCCAGGTGGCGCAGGGCTTGTTGGGCCTGCCGGTGGTGCGGTGGCGGCGGCAGGCCCAGGCGGCGAATCAGGGCTGCACGGAGGCGCGGCGGCTGCGGCGCCGGCCGATGCGCGCATGCCTGCCGCCGATGCTCCTGGGGAGGCCGGACCTCCGCCGGCTCCGCTCGGCAGCGGCAGGCGGCGCGCGGCCTCCGCAGGCGCGAGGGCTGCGCGATGGTACTCCCCGCTCCGGGCGGGGTCCGAAGACGGCGACCGCTCCCGTTCCACGGACCGCGGAGGCTCCCCAGAGGCCCGCATTCCGCTCTTCGCCCAGCCCGCGCACCTGCCGGCCGGGCAGCGGACTCTGCCCTTGCGGCGATGCGCGCGCCTTGCCGCAGCGGCACCTGGCGGTGCATAATGGTGCCTCGCTCGCGCAGCCGTCGGCGTCGGGCACCCTGCAGCAGCCAGGGCGTGCAGGTGAGTGGCGCCGTGGAGGACCCGAATAGCCGCGGGGCTGCTGCTGGCCGCCGCCCGGGCCGCCACCCGCATGAGGTTGCCGGGCGAGGCTCCCGGCAACCGCCCGGGCCGCGATCGCACGAGTGCGAGCTGCGGATGCGTCGCGGGGCTGCTGGCGCTGCCCCGGCCCCTCCGGGATCCCAGGCTGCTGAGCCCTTGGAGGGGGGTCAGGGTCGGGGAGGCGCGGCGCCCTGGCCCAGGCCGCACGGTCAAGGTGCTCGTGGCCAATGTGACTCGCTGGAGCGCGAGCTGGCGCGGCGCGCTGGCAGCGCAGGCCGTCGTGTGGTGCATGCAGGAGGCCCGCATTCCGAAGCTGGAGGCGGCGGCGGCGGCCGCTGCAGCGCGTGCCCGCGGGATGCGGCTGCACCTGGGCCCAGAGCAGGATGGCGAGCACCTCCTGGCTGCCGCACACGCGCCCGGCAGTTGTTCAGCCCGGGCCGAGGCCATGTCGGGCCTCTCTGGCCGGCACCCGGGCCGCCTCCAGCACCTGGCACTTCACCTGGGAGGGAATCGTGCCGTCCACCTCCTCAACGTCTATGGGTACGCAGGAGGGCGGACCGACCGGGAGCGCAACGCCGACCTGATCCTGGAGGGCCTCGAGTGGCTCCGGGGCCTAGGCGGGGCGCCCGCGCTGCTGGTAGGCGACCTGAATTGCAACGTCGCCGAGTCGGGCCTGGAGGGCCTGCTGGGCATGGCCGGGTGGCGGGACCTCCTGGCGGCGGCTGGCCCTACGTGCATCCCCTCCGATGGGGCCCCATCGAGGCTGGACTACGTGCTGGCGAATCCGGAGGCGTTGGGGCTCGTCGAGCGGGTCGGCATCCGGTGGGACCTTGGGTTCGCCACCCACGCGGCCCTCTGGGTGGAGTTGCGCGCGTCGGCCCCGGAGCGAGCGCTCATGAGGCGCCCCGTGCAGCGTCTCGACGGCGATGCCATTGAGGGCTGGGGGGCGCGGGAGGCCCGGGAGGCCGCCGCCACGGTGGTCGCTGGCTTCGGCACGCCCTTCCACGGCGCGCTGGGGCGGCACGACGTCGAGGCGGCATGGCAGTCGCTCCGCTCGGCCATGGCGGCATGGTTGGCGAGTCGGCGGGGGCTCCCAGCAGCTCCGCCCCGGCCCCATGCGGCTGCCACGGTGGCCGCCGATCGGCCGCCGACGAGAGGGGGGGGAGGCGACGCCGCGGATATGCAGGCGGACGCTGCCCTCCTCCGCCTTCGCCGCCTGCGCGGCCTCCGTCACGCGCAGCGGAGGGCCCCATCGGCGCGCGAGGTCGCGATGTCCACGCTGATGGCGCTGCGGCAGGCCGACGCCGACCATGCGGTCTGGCGGGCGGCGCTGGCAGACCTGCGACCGGACGTGGAGCTCCCGGCCACCTTGCTGGAGCATGCGGAGGCCGAATGGCGTGCCGCCCAGGCGGCAGCGCGATCCCAGCGCAGGCAGGAATGGCGCCGCTGGGCCCAAGAGAGTTTGGCCAACGCGCAGGGCCGTCTCTATCGATGGATCCGAGGCGGGTCGATTCTCGAGGCAGATTTGGTGCCCGACCCGGCGGCTGGCGCGGCGGCCGCAGCAGCCGGAAGCCGGAGCTGGCTCCTGGCGCTCCGTGGCGGCCCAGCGGCGCGCCTCCGCCACTTCGAAGGGCCGTGGCGCGCACTCTGGCAGCGGCAGTCGGCGCC